ATACAGGGTCGCTATGGGTCGGAACCGACTCGACGGCACTTAACAACAACAACAACAATGTGACTAAGAAAAATGTGTTACTGAGAGAATTTGTCTACAGTTATCCTCTGATTGATGTATTGATGTTGTTGTGTTAAGTACCGTGGTGTTGGCTCCAACTCATAGCGACCCTGTACAGGGTTTCTGAGACTGTAAATCTTTAAGGGCGTAGAAAGCCTCATCTTTCTCTTGCTGAACAGCTGGTAGTTTTGAACTGCTGACCTTAAGGTTCGCAGCCCAATTTGTAATTACTACACTATCAGAGCTCCTTGATTGATGTATTAATGATGGTCAAATTTAGAACCATTGTAGCAATACTTTTTGACTTACCCTCACACAAATTGTGAGGTTTTGTACTTGTGACAAAGGACAGAGGGACATTTTCTACTCATTGCCAGGAAATCCTCACTTAAGCTTCTGTGATCCACAAGCACTTAAAACCCGTGAGCCTTCAGTTGGTCATCCTTCGCTAGTCCCTCCTCTACAGGGAACTGGCTATGTTCTTGCGTGGTCACCTTGTAGCTGAATGACTTCGCCATATTCTGGATGCTCAATTACAGTACCATTGCAGACAGACTTCTTCAATGCCTTTTTATTGTAATCATCAGTGATCCATTGGATAGTAGTAAAGGTCTTCCTGCTGTTTCTCTGTTGAATTCTGACATGGATATAATCCTTAGTCCCAGCAGGAAGCAAGTCATCACCCTTACTTGCATCAGCAAAGGGGTCAAAAGTGTGGCGGTTCTGGATTGTGGGCCTAGCATACGATTCCTTTTCCTTAGTGGAAGTGGCAAGTGGCCGTGGGAGAAAGAAGGTGGGAAGTACTGGCCGTAGTGTGCAGAGTTCTCAATGTCGATTCAGTGACTCTACTCCCCTCTTTTAGATACGCATCTTCTGCAGTTACAGTTGTGACAATCACAATTAATCCTGCTAACAATTACTCACAATTGAATCATTCAATCCTATCACCATCATTCCCTATCCCCTTTTCACCAGATCCATCTGGAAAAGAGGAAAACTATTCCGTGTAGATTCTACATTACCCCCACATTGTGAAACTAAGCACACTCATGAAAGCTTATAAGCCAGCCTTTATAGCTCCCCATTTTTGATAGCCAATGTCTAAATTGTCCATCCCTATCAACCCGTTGTGGTGCTGTGTGTTAATGCTCCAGACTGCAAAGCAATATGCTCTGCAAGGTTAGCGGTTCAAGCTCGCCAGCTGCTCTTCGGAAACTCTATACAGAGTCGCTATGGGTCAGAATTGACTCAATGACACTTAACAACAACAACAATCAATGCAGTGCATTGACTGCTGCTTTCCTGGGTGTTGATTGTGGAACCAAGTATAATAAAATCCTTAACAACTTCAGTATTTTCTCAGTTTTTCTTGATGTTGTCTTTTGGTTCAATTGTGAGGATTGTTGTTTTCTTCGTGTTGAGATGTATTCCATACTGAAAGCTATAGTCTTTGATCTTCATCAGTAAGTACTCCAAGTCTTTACTTTCAACAAGCAAGATTGTGTCACTTGCATGTCGCAGATTATTCATGAGCTTTCCTCCTGTCCTGATGCTGTGTGCTTCTTAATACAGTCCAGTTGCCAGGATTATTTGCTCAGCATAGATTGGATAAGTGTGGTGAAGGGATGCAACCATGACACACCTTTCCTAATTGTAAACTACACACGACCCCCTTGTTCTCTTTGAATGCCTATGCACAGGTTCTGCATGAGCACACTTAAGTGTTCTGAAATTCCCATTCTTTTTCATTTTCCATTGGTCGGCATAAGATTTTCACTGGTCTGTTTTTTTTTTTGTTTTTTTTTTGAGAAAGAAATCACCAGGTCCTTTTTCTTAATCTGTTTAGTCTTGAAGCTCCTCAGAAACCTGCTGGTATTTGAAGTACACCGTTGGCATAGCTTCTAGCATCACAGCACAACTCAAGTCACCAGAATACAGCACACTGACAGACGAGTGTTGGCTACACCAAACTCAAACCAACTGCCACTGAGTTGATTCCAACTCAGAGCAACCTTACATGGGGTTTCTGAAACTGTACATCTTTACTGGATCAGATAGCCTCCTCTTTTGCCTGTAAAGTGATTGGTGGGTTTGAACTTTGTGGTTAGCAGCCCAATGTCTAACCCACAGTGCCCAGCATATTGATATATGATATATGATATAGTGCTAGAAGATGAGTCCCTTATTTTGGAAAGATAATGAAAGTGGCACAGGACCAGGCAGTATCTTGTTTTGTTAAACATAATATTTCCATGAGTTGGAAACTACTCAATAGGAGCTAACAGCAACATCTCTCTTTCTCTCTGTATTTCAAGCGATTGATTCACACAGTTGTAGGGGACTGGCAAGCCACAAATTATCACATGATAGCTAGAGACTACTGCAGGCTTGTATCCCAAATTCCATATTTCAGGCAACAGTTAAAGTCAAGAGAGTATTAGCATTCTGGAAAAAATGTCTATAGTTAAGCTCCCTTTTTACTCTTATGACCTTCAAATGGTTGATTCATGCCCACCCTCCTTATGGAAGGTAATTTGCTTTACTTGAAGCCAACTGATTTATTCACATGTAATTAATTTGGCTAGTGTTTTACCAATAACACCAACAGCTTAACCAAGTTGATTCATAAAATTAATCATCTTACAGTTTCTGGGGAATAGAGTATGAGGGTACTGAATTTATTGGTGGTATTTCAATTTGAATTTTCTCTTATCTAGTAAACTGAATGAGTGCCTAACACTATTATCAATGGAAATGGAATCTTTTAGCATTAGTGATTTTTCCAGAAATTAACATGCAGCATTTTTTTCCCTTCCAACCCATGAGTAAGTATTTATTGAATGTCAAGTCATATCTGACACTTTTATAATTGCTGTGAAGGACAAAGTACGAGGAACTGGTTTCTGCTCTCTGGGAGGTTTTAACCATATAAGAAAGATGAGGTTAAAAGTAATAAAGTATGAAATATGATGTAATGCATACAAATATATGTGGCAAATTGAGATGCATTTTCTAACATCCCTAGGTATTACATTGTTTAAGCTGCTTCCACAAACCAGAGAATCTCCATTCTGCTGCCAGGTAGCCACAAAATGACATGACAGAGAAACCTTATCATTAATGGGGACTGAAACCAAAGTGGTCCAACTATACCTAGACCTATGCTTGACTCCTTCCCCAATCTCCCAACCCTGTCATTACCTCCATTCCAAACTCTCTCCTTTCCACCATGGTGTCCCTCTCCTACTTCTCTCTTGAGTCTAATTTCAGTTCCAAAACCCCTCATTACCTTCCTTCACATCTCATTGTTTGTTGTTGTTGAAGGGCCATTGAGTCAGTTCTGATCCATAGCAACCCTGTACAGGATTTCCACAGAGTAGCTGGTGAGCTTGAACTACAGTCCTTTCTTTATGGTTCAAACCAACTTTGCATCCAACGCATTAACCCCCAGCCACAGCACCACACCAGGACTCCTCACATCTGATCCCCAATCCCAAATCAAAACTAGTCCATAGAATGAGTGTCACAGAGGCACAGGTCCCAGAAGAAAACATTTTCATCTATATTATTTGCAAGTTAGCTTCTATCACTGTTTTCTTCCATATATTTATGATGGATGTGTGAGTGTTTGGGTTGAGAGTTTTAACCAGAACCAAGCATGTAGATACTGGAAGTGTTCCGTTTCTCACTCTGGTTCTTCTCAAAATATAGCCTTTCTTCCTCTCACATTTTCTGTCATCTGGTTTTCTCTGTTTCTCTAGCTAACCTGGACGTACATATGGTCATCTACTACATACATTTATTTTTAATTTCAGCCTCAGATGGAATGTTTTGCTAGGTGTCAGTTGTAAGTTCCTAAGAAAGGAACTGATTGGCCCACCTTGAGTCAGAGACATGCCCCTGGACCATTCATCTCTGACCATGGTGTTAGGGCTTCACCGAACTAATGGATACATAAATCCCAAAGGTATAGCTATGGGGAGTGTGGGAAGGAAAGGCCATTCTCAAATATGGGAAAGAAGATACTGTCTTTGGAGAACCCAACAATAAATTAAGCCAAAATCCAACCCACACCTATGTAACAGGGTTCTTCTTAAATTCACATTTCCATATTATTCATGCCCTTAATCCTACACAGCAGTGGCTGGGAGCCACAAGCTCAGCAGTTCGAGCCCACCAGCTACTCTGTGGGAGAAAGATGAGATTTTCTACTCTGACCAAGATTCACGGCCATAGAAATCCTACACAGGATTATAAGGAAATGACTTGACAGCACTTAACAACAGCAACAGCTAATTCTACTTATAGACTTTTCCAAGGCAGTTTCTGGTCATCTTTCCCATATCTGACCACTGTGGGGTTTGAGTTGTTCACTTGGTGTCCCCTGGTGTCCCCAAAAAGAATTCTGACTTTCTTACGTCCATCTTACTTTCAGTGCACCGCTTCCTGTGGAGGTGGCCTTCAGAAGAGGATTGTCCACTGTGTCTCATCAGAGGACAACAAAACTGAAGATCAAGGCCACTGCCTGTGTAATCATGAACCCAAACCGCCAGAGTTCCAAAAATGTAACCAGCAAGCCTGCAAGAAGAGTGCCGGTGGGTGAAGGGTTTTGCTCAGTGGGGCACAAATAAGTCTTTCCACATGACTCAACATGTGGATAGTGTTTTATTGAGCAGAGAATGTTAATGCTAAAGAGGCCAGCTGGCTCCTCTGGGAGTAAATCTTCTAATGTGTCTTTTGCCCATTTGGTTTTAATTCCTCCAGGGATTATCTCACCCAGTTTCTCATCTCAAAGCACATTCATACTGACGTCATCCCACATGGATGAGAATTCTTTCTGTTTCTTCAAAGAAGTCACAGGGATTATCTGGCCTTTCTTAGGAATCCAGTCAAGTTTAGATTGAGCCTCTCTATCAACTGAGTTCACTTGCTTATTTTCTGCGCTCAGTGAATACAAAAAAAGAGCAAAATTCAAAATCCATTCCTTTTCATTCCCAGTACAAGAAGAAATATTAACCTGCTTCTAGAATCATAAAAACGTGTAAATTGTGTCCTTTAGATTTTATTAGAAGTTCCTTCTATTTATTGTTTGATTTTTGTAGTATAATCTATTGACACCAACACTCGTCTGTCAGTTTGTCATACCATGGTGGCTTTCATGTTGCTGTGAAGCTGGAAGCTATGCCACCAGTATTTTCAATACCACCATGGTCACTCATGGTGGGCAGGTTTCAGTGGTGCTTCCAGAATAAGACTGACTAGGATGAAGAAGAGCAGAATACTTGAACTGTTTTGCCAATGAAAACCTTATGAAAAATAATGGAACATTGTCAGATAACACCAGAATATTGAATATTGAAACATTATGAAAAAGCATCAGAATATTGTCAAATATAGTACCAGGAGATGAGCCCCTCAGTTTGGAAGACACTCAAAATATGACTTGGAAAGAGCTACCTCCTCAAAGTAGAGTTGACCATGTTGATGTGAATGGAGTAAAGCTTTCAGGACCTTCATTTGCTGATGGGACACAACTCAAAATGAGGAGAAACAGCTTCAAAAATTAATTAATAATTGGAACATGGAATGTACCAAGTATGTATCTAGGGAATTTGGAACTTGCCAAAAATGAAAGTGAACACATCAAATTCAATATCTTAGGCATTAGTAAACTGAAATTGACTGGTATTGGTCCCTTTGAATCTGACAATCACAAATTTTACTGTACTGGAAGTGACAAATTGAAGAGGAATGGCAGCACACTTATCATTAATATTTTTTTTTAATCTATCTTGATGTATAATGATGTCTGTAATAGGGTAATGGAGCCCTGGTGTGGCGCTGTGGGCTAATGTATCAGATTGCAAAATAATTTGAACTGCAAGGTCGTGGTTCAAGCTCACAAGCTGCTCTTTGGAAACCCTATACAGAGTTGCAATGAGTTGGAATCCACTCAATGGCACTTAACAACAAAAACAATAGGGTAATATCCATGCGTCTATAAGAAAGATCAGTTAATAGCACTATTATTCAAATTTATGCACCAACCACTAAAGCAAGTAATGATGAAATTGAAGAATTCTACAAACTTCTTCATTTTGAATTGATCAAATATGCAAATAATTACTGGTGATTGGAATGCAAAGGTTGGAAAGAAAGAAGAAAGATTGCTGTTGTTGTTGTTACATGCTATCCAGTTGGTACTGACGCATAACAACAGAAAGAAACACTGCCTGGTACTGTGCCAATTTCCCAGTCATTGCTAAACTTGAGTCCATTACTGCTACCACTCTGCCAATACATCTCCTTGGGGGGTGGGGGTTCTTACTATTTTTCTCTTACCCTCCACCATGTTGTTGTTAAATGTGTCAAGTCATTTCAGACCCATAGCAACCCTGGTAAGCTTGAAATTCTGACCCTGTGGTTCAAACTGTCTTTGCAGTCCAGTACATTAATCCACAGCACCACACCAGGACTCCCATAGAGCTGTGATCCTCCACTATACCAAACAGAATATCCTTCTCCAGAAATTGGTCCCTCCTGATAATATATCCAAAGTATGAGAGATGAAGTCTGGCCATCCTGGCTTCCAAGGAGCATTCTGGCTGTACTTCCAACACAGATATGTTTGCTCTTTTAGCAGGCTATGGTACTTTTAATATTCTCCTCCAACACCAAAACTCAAATGCATCAGTTCTTCTATGGTCTTCCTTATTCACTGTCCAACATTCACATGCATATGAGGTTATTAAAAATACCATGGCTTGGGTCAGATGTACTTTAGTTCTCAAACTGACATCTTTGCTCTTCAACACTTTAAAAATTTGTCTAATGTACTATGTTGTTTGATTTCTTGACTGTTGCTTCCATGAGTGTTGATGGTAGATCCAAACAAAATGAAGTCTTTGACAACTTCAATCTTTTCTCCATTTATCTTCTTGTTTCTTACTGGTCCACACGTGAGGATTTTTGTTTTCTTTACATTTAGGTGCAACCCATACCAAAGGCTGTGGTCTTCTTTAGTAAGTAGTTTAAGTCCTCTCAGCTTTCAGCAAGCTAGGTTGTATCATCTACATATCACAGGTTGTTAATGAGTCTTCTTCTAATCTTGTAGCCATGTTCGTCATATAATTCAGTTTCTCAGATTATGTGCTCAATATACAGATTGAATAAGTATGGCGAAAGAGTACAATGCTGGTGCACATCTTTCCAAAACTTTAAACCATTCAGTGTTCCCTTGTTCGGTTCAAACAACTGCCTCTTGGTCTGTGTACAGGTTCCTCATGAGTGCAATTAAGTGTTTCAAAATACTCATTCTCTACAATGTTGTCCATAGCTTGTCATGATCCACACAATCAAAAGCCTTTGTGTACTCAATAAAGCACAGGTAACCATCTTTCTGGTATTCTCTGCTTTCAGTCAAGTGGGTTTACATGGGAGAACATCCATTTTACATTCATCCTATCATATTTCATTTCATTGCAATGATTACCGTCCCCTCCATGCATCATCAAATAACCATGTGATGTCAGCATTGATATCCCTTCTTCCATATCCTCATCTGAGTCTAGCTTGAACCTCTGGCAGTATGTCAGTGTATGGTTGTAGTGGTTTTAGAATTATCTTTGGCAAAATTTTACTTGCATAGGATGTTAATCATAATATTTGATGATTTCCGCATTCTATTGGGTCACCTCTCTTTAAAATGGGTACAAATATGGATCTCTTCCAGTCAACTAGCCAGGTAGTTGTCTTCCAGATTTCATAGCATAAATGAGTTAGTGCCTCCAGTGCTTCATTATTTTGTTGAAAGATTTCAACTGTATCCATCAATTCCAGTAGCTCTGTTCTTTGCCAATGCCTTCAATGCACCTTGGACTTCTTCCTTCAGTATCATTGGCTCAT